CAGGCATCCACAATGACTGATTGTGAAATGGACATAGGTCTAAAAGGGTTTATTTTTTCAAACACTATTTTAACTTTTTTTTGCACATTTGTGTCATTTTCCAAATGTTTTGATAAACATATTATGTCGCGTGTGTCCCCTTTGACCTATCATTGCGTTCATTTATCTATAGTTTTCATGGAATACACCCAGAATGCATGCATACTTGTAAGGTTTAATACAAAGTAGATCTATTTAGGTCTACTTTTAATATGCCAAGCCCGTACTTTGGTCTAAAATGGGGTCTGTCGGACAACTGTTTGGTCTAAGATTGGGTATACATTTTTTTTATCCAAATTGGTCTAAAATGGGTTCTGGGATTTACAGTGTGGACTACACACATATACTATATCGGCAGCCATGTAACCCCCCCCCCCCGGGGGGGGGGTGCAAGTTGTCTGCAAATACATTATCAACATGTGCCAAACAACGAAAATTACACAATTTATCTGCTGATTTCCGGGGCTGATTTATTATGCATTTTGTTCCCCCATTTTACCAACGAAAAGTGTTTATACAAATGGTGATTTTTTATTTAAATTCCTTTTTTAATAATGAAAATTATGAAAATTATTATTCCTGTGTCAAACGTTCTTAAATTAAACGATATGACGACCTGTCTGTCGGAAGACCGAAAAGCACAATGAGTGTTATTGTAATCACGTATAATCTCGCGATACAGATGACAACACTGACATCATCCACGAGATCTCGAAAAACAAATCCAAGATGGAGGCAGTTCCGCGTATGTGTATGTTGGCTCTGGAAATGAAATTTAGCCCTGAGCCAACAGAATTTGGGCCGAAATTGAAACAGGTAAGTCTTCGACAATGTGTCTATAATGATCCAATTGGCGTCGTATTCAAGTCGTAAATAAAATCATCTCGTATGCCACCTGTCTCGCAGTGCCTTATGTATCGTCCTTGGACGACGACGACGTCGGCGGCGTTGGTGGCGATCATATCGCGATCCGGGGTCGGGATTTGAATGAACACAAATGTTGGTTGGTATTTGAGCAATAAACCCAGTATTCCCGGCGATCTATATAGAAGTAAAATCATCGAGTAAGAGGCCCCACTTTTTATGTTAATGACGTAAGTTGTTATCATAACACGGTCAGCCAAGACTGGTCGGAAGACATATTTGTTGTTCCAATGCTGGTTGAGGATTTCCTTCGGTTGTGTGTGATTATGAGTCACCAACAATATCCACATTACTAGTACTAGTATATTATCAACTGTATACGGCTGCATGTATTAAATATCTCTATAAATCTTACGTTTGACTGAAGTCTAGATCACAGACTGCATAAATAATGCATGGTCATGTCACGGATAACGAAATTCGCGTGTAGTATAGTTTATTATCACATCTCACTGCTGTTACGCATGCTGTGATTGGTTGAGACTCGGTCACATGACATGGAATAAAAATGCATATTACATGGTATATTGCCCGCCAAGTGGATATTACATGGGTATATCACATGGATGACGTCACTGAAACTACTGCGCAACGATACTCCGCACAACAAATTGTCGTTCGCTGCACTGGGGCTGCTCTGGCCGCTGTTGCTTTCAGGGTTTTGAAGGAACTTTAGCCATCCGAAATAGACAGTGAACGTGCCAGAATGGATATTAAGTAAGATACTCTGTTTTGATGTATAGGGTATTTTTTATATGGAGCAAAAATGTACGGCAAAGCCGCCACTGAAACGTCGCAGCCGGGGTCGCTGTAGCGCGTTCTACGCTGTAAGCACTTCTACGCGTTCCACGCCGATGCTAACCGAAAACGCTCTAAACAAAGCTGTGTGTCTTGTGAATAGTGTGGTACGTTCGTGAGAAGGTAATTTCAGTCATTTCCACGGCACTCAAATAACTTGCGTTTGAGAATTTCTCAATTCATTTCAAAA